TCCGCGCATGCGCTTTGCTCAAAAAAACCCATCCCTTAATAGGACGAAATAGAGTTAGGGCGGGTGGGCAGGCTCATCTGCAATTTCTGCTAGCAGTTCGGGCGAAATGGCAGAATACCACCTCTGATTCTGTGGTGTCTCACTGGAGAGAAGACCATGGGATGCTAGGGCATAGGAAAACATACATTTTCCAGGCATGCTTAGTCAAGGGTTAGCTTCTAAAGGTGGCTCGGTGGCTAAGTCACTGAGCTTGTCAATCAGAAAGGTTGGCAGTTTGAATCCCTAGCGCTGTGTAATGGAGCGAGCTCCCATTACCTGTCCCAGCTTCTGCCAACCTAGCAGTTCAAAAGCACGTCAAAATGCAGAGTAGAGAAATAGGGACCACCTTAGGTGGGAAGGTAACAGCGTTTTCTGTGCCCCTTCGGTGTTTAGTCATACTGGCCACATGACCACGGAGACGTTCTTCAGACAGCACTGGTTGTTTGGCTTTGAAACGGAGATGAGCACTGCCCCCTAGAGTCGGGAACGACTAGCACATATGTGCAAGGGGAAACCTTTACCTTTTACCTTTAGGCATCTGAAATTGGCAGAAACAGCCGATGAAAAGGAAAAAAAAACAGGCGCAGGGTTGGCATCAAACTCCCGATGTTCCAAGTTTTCCCCCCCAAATAGTTTCTTTTCGTTCTCCTTCCACTTTTCTTAATTAAACATTTATTTCTGGATTAGTGAACAATAGGTGGAGCTGTTATGCTGGATTAGTGAACAAAGCAGAGGTGCTAAACAAAGAGAGTAACAGTTCTGGGAACTTTTATGTCAACCTAACCACCCTTTCACAAAGCTCACACTCAAACCGGCCAAAATTTCTGCTCCAACCAAACAGGACAGATCTATTTGTGAATCAAAGCCTCTCTGCTCTTCCCCTGATTTTCGTCCTGTCTTCCATCCGTGATCCCTCAATAAGACCCGAGTAACAATTCCTGTTTCTTCCAGAAGTTCAGATCTTTGGAAGAATCTTATGGACCTCATCTACTTATCCCCCACACGGCATAGTCCAAATTCAGAGCTGAGACCCCTGAAGTAGCAGGAAGTCCATATCCCTCTGGAAGCCTTTCCCCCATTCTCATTTTCCCTATGAATGTCCCAAGTGAGCAACTAATTACAGGTAGTCCTTGATTTACGTCCACAATTGAGCCCAAAGTTTCTGTGGATAAGCGAGAAGCAGTTAAGTGAGTTTTGCTCCGTTTTAGGATCTTGCTTGCCATAGTTGTTAAGTGAATCGCGGCACTTGTTAAGTTAATAACAAGATTTATGAAGATTCTCAGTCTCCAGGTCATGGTTGTCCCAAAGGTGCTTTTTCTTGTTTTTTTCTTTTCTTTTGAAGACATTTTGCTTCTCATCCAAGAAGCTTCTTCAGCTCTGATTGGAGGGAGGGAAACAGAAGGATTTATATTCCTTGCAGACAGCTGGTCATTTGCATCCTTTTATTTATTTATTTATTTATTTATTTATTTATTTATTTATTTATTTATTTATTTATATTATTATTATTATTTATTTATTAATTAGACTTATATACCGCTTCATAGGGCTTTCAGCCCTCTCTAAGCGGTTTACAGATTTTTAGCAAATTGAGTCGGCAAATTGCCTCCACAGTCTGGGTCCTCATTTCACCCACCTCGGAAGGATGGAAGGCTGAGTCAACCTTGAGCCGGTGAGATTTGAACCGCTGAACTGCAGATAACAGTCAGCTGAAGTGGCCTGCAGTACAGCACTCTAACCACTGCGCCACCTCAGCTCTTCAAAGTCACCTGAGTAGTGCATGAAGGCTCCACGTCCATGTGCATGACAGAGGTGACCCTGAGGACACGACACAAACCTCCAAGTGGCCTCAACGACTCTCTAAGAAGAATGCAAATGACCAGCTGTCTGCAAGGAGTATAAATCCTTCTGTTCCCCACCATCCAGTCAGACCCGAAGAAGCTTCTTGGGTGAGAAATGATACATCTTCAAAAGGAAAAAAGCAAGAAAGTCCAGTTAACTTCTGAAAAAAACCACCTTTGGCACAGTAATCCACTTTTTAAGTGAATCTGGATTCCCCATTGACTTTGCTTGTCAGTAGATCATCACATGATACTGTAACCGTCATAAATATGAGCCAGTTGCCAAGTGTCTGAATTTTGACCACGGGGATGCTGCAAGAGTCGTAAGTGTGAACCAAAAGCGTCCCTCAATGAAATCGAGTTTGACACCCCTGATCTAGAAGAACCCCAAAGTTATCTTCTGGTCCTGAGAAAGGAGATTTCTAGCAGTACCGCTGCCCCGAGAAGAATACCAAGGGAATATTTTGATGGGAGAAATAAAGAATGATTTACGACTATCAGGTGGGAGGTCTAGAGAGGGGGTCTTTAGGCAACTTGCTGCACCAAAGTCATCAGAGGAACCTATCTTGCAATTCACGGCCATTATCCGTATCAGCTGACTGCAGAAGTGCGTTTTTGTGAAGAATGATCCCACAATCAATGGGTTCTTTTTAAAGTAACTACAAAATCAATCTGAATTGTTTTATAAATATGCCTGGTATGCACATGTGAGGGGAGGGGGAGAGAAAGAGAGATTGTCTTCATCTCTCTCCCCCCCCCACCACCTTTGTTTCTCTTTTAAGAAGGAGGCAAGTAAGCAAAATGAATTTTCGTTTGAGTTATTTTATTAGTGTCATGTGAAATTATGGCACATTATTGACTTCTGCTGGAATATATATATGTATATTTTACCCAAGGAATCACAGATTAACATGTACAAAACAAAATCAAAACCGGTTATTTTGAAAAAAAAAAAAAAAAAAAAAATGCCACAAGGCAATTTTCTCTACAAATTCCCATCGCTGTATTTACGCCGTGTAGGCAGGGGGGTGTTTTCAATTCT